TTGGCAGCACATGTTCCTTGCAAACCAACACAAATAATAAGACATAATAAAGGACAGCCCTCGGGGTACATGACTACTGTACACGAACGAGTAGTTAACAGCCTTCATTTGCACACGGTGACGACAATGACACGCCACTGACAGCTAACAACATGCCACACAAGTGAAGACATGTAGCTTCCTGCAAAAATACAAAGGTGTAAACATTTGCTGTGACAATTATTCAATTTGGACACAATTTGATTTGCTTTGACTTTGTTGTTAAAGAATAGTGCACATTTTGATTCAGTAAATTTTTAGGAAATATTGTAAAATAAACATTCATTTACTTTCAGCCATTTTACGTACATCTTATTTCTTGACATTTAATTTTTGTCTATAAATCAGTCTATGAAGACTGAGTAATTCAAGTAACATTTTCTTCATTAACCATCTAATTAAAGAAAGTTGTATTCCACCACACATTTACATTTACAGCTAATATTCTTATTTTAAAAACAATTTAAATTAAAATAAAAAAATAAAATTGTGGCAAAACATTACATTCAAATTAATTGATAAAATCAGAAACAAAATCACCTAGCCCTACTATAAACTTCAACTACTAAAAAACAAACAAAAACAAAAAAATACCAGCAATATTATTTTTATTAGATAGATCAAAATAATTATTTTAAAAAATATATTCTTCTAATATTAGATTGCTATTGATCGTCATTGCAAGGCATAAAAGCATTTTTTAACCCTATAAATAACTAACAAATCACTTCACTCCAATATTTTGTTGTTTTGTTCAACATTTGCAATATAATTCATCTGCCGCTATGATCAGCATGTTGCACCATTAAGATCAAATTTATAGTTTTCGAGCTGGCATTCAAACACACCATAAACGAATGTGAAGCAAAAAGGACAAACAAATGAGATCCAGCATGTATCAGTGATCTTTTAAAATGTAATGGTTGTTTTTCCATACTCTTCAATAATAAAGACCCTGAATACAGCAAGGCACTGAATCAATTTGTGTACACTATATTTTGTGCATATTTCCCGCATTTTCAAAATGAACAGCTTGGACACAAGCCTGAGCAGGTGTTTCCAAAACACTCTGACTAAATCTAGCTCTTACATCTGAAACAGATATCTGGCACAGGAATGAGTCCTATTCCAACAGGGGCATCTAAAAGCCACACACACGTACAAACTCTCTCTTATCGCAAACTACAGAAAGCAAAGAGCTGGGCTTCCAGAAACCCCTATTCCCCTCTCATTCTCTCTCATCTCTGGTATGAGAGGCATGTAGTAATTACCGAGGCTAAAAGCTGACTAATGCTCTGTGTGCATCTGCATCTATGAATGTGAGTGGTTACCGAATTCTTGGTCAATGTTTATACCAAAGAGCCTTATCGTTCTCAGCACAAAACAAACAGGCCTGTAGGTTAGTATCATAAAAAAGTAAGGTGAACAACCCCTGAGGTACTGAATAAAGGTATGGACAAGACAAAAAAAAAATCAGCTTTAGATACAAAAATGTACCATGGTAACCGAGAGTGTAGTTTCTGCCAAAATATCAAAGTTTACTGCAGGTATTGTTAATATTTTAATATGGGATCCCCTTTAAACAGTGTAAGAAGTTAACAGAATCTTCAAATGCTCAACATTACACAATTGTCTTCATTTCACATTAAACAAAGCTCAAATTTAATAAAAACAAACTGAAATAACTACCTGAAGTTTAAAATTACTAAAACTTTTGACTAATGTTGCTGTATCCATACGAGCCACAATGAAACAACAAGCAATTAAAGATTTTTCTTCCATGTAAATCTGAGGTTTTGTCCAAACTAGCTGCAATTGCGACAAGCAACAATAAAACGCAATGCACTGGACTGTAATAAAATAAAATAATATAAAACACAATACATCCAATAAAAATATATGCAATAAAAAAATCAAATTATAAAAAATTGCCAGTAATGTTAATAAAAGATCCCAACCATGAAAATGTATTCAGCGAGATTGCACTTTTTGTTCAGTGCCTGAGAACATTCCAAATTATTCTGATTTTCCCAAAGGTTCAAATACGCACTTTTTCCAGCTTTTAATGCGGTTTTCATGGAAACTAAGGTTACCACTTGTTCTTGTAATTTCACATCCTGAAAACTGTCCTGGACATCGAAAGAAACAACTTGCTGGTGAGGCTTTAAACCCTCGAAAAGAGAAGGCTGTGGGTTTTATCTCAAACCAGCAAAAAAAGGTTTGAGGTCTGCTATTGTTCCTGCAGTTACTGCTGGCACAGCAAAACAGCACACAAATAGAATCGCTATAAAATCAAAATGAAAGTCGCACTCCACTGGTTTCCTTTAGGCAAGAAGATGTCATTCATCAAACCAGATGGCTGGTGGATAAAACAGGTACATCCTTTACGGTGACAGTGATATTCAATATTGTCAAACCGTATCAAACCCCAGACCCCATTTGATGTCGTCTCCTGCTTTGGTCTGGGTTTTATATCAAAAGCTTTTTCACTGACACAAATAATCTGGGTTTGCCTTGATCAGAGCGTGAAACCTCCATCGTGCATCTGGACACTACGGATGGTATACCAACTCGAACATTTGGCCACTCTGATGGGTCTAGAGCACTTTTGTAATGAATTCATTTTAAACTTTGATTTGCATGTATAGAGTAAACAATTACCCAATGCCAACATGAACAAGGAAGAAACGTAGAATGAATTTTCCAAAGGACTTTATTGACTAAGAGCGAAGTTCTTGGTTTTTCCCCTCATTTAGTAAAGAAGCAAAAGGTTTAGCAAATGCTTTTATCCAAAGTGACTTGCAGTATATTTACTAGGTAAAATCCCCCTGGAACAACCTGAGGTTAAATGCCACCAAGGACACTTGGTGAAAGCTCAAGGCTCACTCCACACAGGCCTCAGCTTTAGCCACTTCACCATACCAGCTCCTAAATCAGGGGTGTCCAAACTACGGCCCGCGGGCCAAATGCGGCCCGTGAATGAATTTTAAGCGGCCCGTAGCTGTCTTAATAGTCTATATTATACATGGCCGTCATTTTTTTGTTTAATGTTGGCACTTGACGTGGCCTAATCATCCAAAAGCCAAAGTTTTTGGTTATTAATGCGTTTGTAGAACAGTGCAGTTGTTGTTAACGGTAACTGCAATAATGCTGAAATAAAGTAAAACAGAAATATTAGATGAAACACTTAAAAAAATAAAATAAATGAAAGTTAGCCAGTTTTGCCTTAGCAACTAAATAAATACTTTGTATTAGTGTATACCATAGACTGTAAAAAAAGATGGACGACGCGTCTCCTATTCCTTCCACTATAGAAAAGTGAAGCCAAAGCATCTCAGTATGGCCGCTGCCATCTTGAGTAAATGACATCATTTGGAGCCCGAGTCTGCGCCGTAGAGGTTCGCTTGGAGCCAGAGTCTGCGCAGTAGTGTCGTGAGGTGGAGCCGTGGTATCAAACTCCCGCAGACCCAATCAACCATAACGACACGCCCCGTTTTTATAGCATCAAATTACTAGCTAAAATCAAACTTATCACAAAAACGAACAATTGAACATATATCAGCGTGATAACTACATTTAATGACCAAAACCATCTTTCGGAAAATTGTATTGGAAGTGTAATTTATTTCTTTATTTTGACTCAAGTCCCATTCGTTTACATGGAGAGGGTGGGGTTTATGACCTGTACTGCAGCAAGCCACCAGGGGGCGATCAAAGAGCCCGCAGCTTCACTTTTCAGGATGTGTGAGGTGTATACAGAGTCAATCTAGTCCAGTGGTTCCCAACCTGGGGTCCATGAGTTCACTTAGCTACTAGAGTCTCAGTCACACAACCACTAAACAGCACTGTGAGATCCAGTGTGAAGCGCTTGAATTTAACGAAGAACACACATGATTTAAACTAGTTTAAAGCCAGATGAAATAGCGCTGACAAACAGGAGAAACATGGTGCGCAACGATACAGTCAGGAAGCTTTTTAATCTACAAATCGCCATCATTTACAATGGATAATCATTTACTATTTACCATAGTAACACTAACAGCACCATGGTATTGTGGCAGAAATGTGGGATATTCATATCGAATTTTATTACATTATTAACATAGATATGTATTCAACATATTAAAGGAGTAATGAAATATAATTACAGTATTTTTGTGATTAAGCTCTAGCGTTTGTGCATTTATACTAAATGTATTTAGACTACTGTTTTTCATACAAATACCTAGAAACTATATAGTTGCATTTTTACCATGGTATTGAGGCGCTATATGTGTGGTTTTAACTCTGGTTATCATGATCTAAATGTATGCTACTATGGAAGAACAATGTTTAATTTTAATAAAACTCAAACAGTCAGAATAATAAAATTTCACCATATAAAAATGAGGTTGTTACAATTTTTACAGATGTTATATATTTTTTTATAATGAATATAAATTTACATCTGCATCCTAATTCAAGCTACAACTGTCAATTCAAGCTACTGTCAAAAGTGTATTTCTAATGATATTATTATATATATACACAGTGGGTACGGAAAGTATTCAGACCCCCTTAAATTTTTCACTCTTTGTTATATTGCAGCCATTTGCTAAAATCATTTAAGTTAATTTTTTTTCCTCATTAATGTACACACAGCACCCCATATTGACAGACAAACACAGAATTGTTGACATTTTTGCAAATTTATTAAAAAAGAAAAACTGAAAAATGCTCAGTATTTAGTAGAAGCACCCATTTGATCTAATACAGCCATGAGTCTTATTGGGAAAGATGCAACAAGTTTTTCACACATGGATTTGGGGATCCTCTGCCATTCCCTCTTGCACCTCTGGTTCAGTCTGTGTATAGAGAGTCAGTCTAGGTGTGTAATAGAGAGAGAATACGATAGAGCTCATAGAAAAGACATCAGATGAGAACAAAATCGGTTTCGTCTGAAAGGGAAGAGATTTTCTTACCTGGCTCCAATTTAATGACCTTGATAGCAGCCAGCTCACCTGTAGTGACATTACGGGCCTGAAAGAGAAAAACAACAGCACTTACTCAACAGATCTCTCAATGTTAACTATTATTCATCTGAAAGACTTCAGATGTGATCAGAGCAATCAGCAGGCCCTGACTTTCCAGACAACTTTTGCATTTTCTGGAAAAATCTTTACAATGAATTTAAGCATGGTAAAATGAGTACTGCACTCTTAATTGTAGCAAAAAACATCATGAAATCAGTCAAAAAAGTAAATGCAAAGGTGCTGCACAGATTCCATGTGGGTCTGCTGATTGGGTAAGAATTAGCTTAAAGCCTTTCATTAACATTGATTTTCAATAGTTTCATTTTCAATATTGCCTACAACTAAATTGTATGCTTAAATAGGGTAAACATACAATCGAATGGATGTTTGCTACATTAGCACTGTCAATACAGACTGTGCATACTTTTGCATTTTCTTGTGGTTTTTTAAAAGACCGTTGATTAGCGTTCGTAGAGCAGAATGCTAATTTATCAGCCTGCCACTAATCTGAATAGTCACATGGGCAGAGGCACCGATATTTATAATTCAAGAGAAAGTTTCATCACCTTTAAAACCTAAATACAAACAACCACTGCTTTACTGATCAAGATGGAGGAAAATATGCCAGCATTAATATCCACACCAATGGCCAGACAAATTTTGGCTACAAAACACTGTTGTTCAGTCCATCATGACATTATTCAATCACGACGTGGCAGCAGGAAGAACATTAGACAAAATTCGCCCAGATTCATCTCATTAAGATGTCATCGGCGAAGTGGTCAAAGTATTTCTTTTTCCTTCTCCTAGCAACAGCGTGAGATCTGACAGCTAGGCGTTGGCAGCAGTGAAAACGGGGGGTGGGGGTAGACTGAGCCGAGTATTACCGAGCAGACCACGGCTGACGGTGTCCCACAGGAACAATACACTGATGAATCGCACTTTGATAGAAACATCTGTGTGAAAAAAGCATCAGGAATCATAAAATGTCCAATTAAAGGGTCTAAATTCTTACTGACAGTTTGTTTGGGCTGCAGGAAGTAGAAGTGTTCAACCACCGACAAAAAAAAAAAAAGTGGTTAAAATGCTAAATGTGCAATCATATCTAAAACAGTCCATCCAGGATTTAGGAAAGGTCATCCAACGGTCTGAAAAAAAGGTACAAAAGTTGTTACTAAGGTACATTTTAGTATCTAAAAAAGGTACCGCTCCAGGGACAGTTTTGTACCTTTTTTTCTGAGAGTGAACAGACTAATCATTAAGTGAGTCTAAATTTTCTCTCTTTTTTAAATTTTTCGTGTTTTAATTTTGCATTAATTTGTATTGTAAATGTGCTCAGAATTGCGTGATGTAAACTCGCAATTCTGACTTTTTTTCTCCACATTGTGAGTTATAAAGTCAGAATTGCGAGGTATAAACTCACAGTTCAGACATTTTTTTCTCAGAAATGCCTGATATAAACTTGCAGTTGCGAGTTATAAAGTCAGTATTGCGCGATATTGGGAGAAAAAAAACTCACTCAAGATTTAAACTCACAATTCTGAAAAAGCAAGTCAGAATTGCAAGATATAAACTTGCAATTCTGAGAAATAGTCACAATTCTGAATTTTTTCTCAGAATTGTGAGTTTATATCTCGCAATTCTGAGTTTATAACATGCAATTTAGTGTGAACCCAAACACAGCCTAATCATGCATGGCATGATCATTCATTCAATCATTCTGGAAACTCATGACTAGTTGATTTTGAAAACATGTTGTTTGAAATATCCCTACTGATCAACATAATTTCATATAACATGATTTCATTGCCTTTAATTAAATGCATCTATTTTGGTCTAAACCAGACAGTTGCAGTCAACAAATGGAAGGAGTGAAGAACTCCAATGCATGATTAATAATCAGTATCTTTCATAGACATTTTGCTTATCGAAAACAACTCAGAAAAACATCAGCGGCTAAGTGATATGATCTGAAAAGGATGCTGCAAAACACAGAGACATCCCGGGTAACTAATGCGAAGATGTCAGGAGCAATACAGCTTCCCAGGATTGTGTGAGAATTTACTCTGAGGTGCATGTCAAAAATGTTAAAACACAACTGAAAGCTCCCCTCCAGAAGGCTGCTGATTCTCCGCCATATATTCAAATTCCTGTTGCGAACTGCTTTGAAGGAAGCCCACATGCTGAATCCTTTCAGCTCAAAGATATGAGGCACTGAAATCGAACCTAGATTATAAACACACAGAGCGGTCGGTATGTCACATTGACATGTACGAGATGCATGAAGTGTTGGGTCATATCAGCACATTACATCACATCCCTGCTTTGAAACACCAGTACAAAACACAGCTAAATATATAATTAAAGAATGTTATCCAGAAACAAACAAAGACAAAAAGAAACTTTTTAATGAAATGCACGTCTCCATGCAGTTACAATAAACGGACACTTAGATTGCACCATAAAAAAATACCATAAAGCTATAATAAACATAGTCCATATGATTCATGCACTATATTGCAACTCTTCTGAAGCCATGTGATAGCTTTGTGTGATGACAAAAAAATGACATAGTATTCAGTTTTGGTTAAATTGTCCTATTACTCTCAAGCTGTTTAAATGTTTTAATTAGAACAAATTATGTTTAATAAGCAAAAAATCTGGGTGAAAAGCTAAGTATAATTCCTTTCCAGGATAATCAGCTTATTTCTACGTGGTGAGGGGATGCAGATTAGTGTTGATCAATAACTTTAACAAGCATCCAGGCCCAGTGGTCAACACCTCGCTTTGCAATCAGGCAAATCATATTGTCTGCTGTGGTTTAAAATTATGTGGTAATGATCCTTCATAATGAGCCCACCACCAGCTGAAGAAAGGTGAAAGCCAAGGATCATGGGAACCAACCAACCAACAACAGCATGACCAGATCTGATGACTATGAAAGTGTGGGATAAAAAAAGTACATAAAATTGTGACATCCTGACCGCTTTGACTTTTTACACTTTTTTTGCTTTCAGAAAAGTTTAGTATTGTGATAATGGGTTGATGCACAACACGGTTAAAGGAATATTCAGGGTTCAGCACAAGTCAGCTCAATCGACAGCACATGTGCCAAAATACTGATTACCACAAAAATTTATTTTGACTGAACAACATTGCTTTTCTTTATATCAAGCAAAAATCTGGAGGACACCTACAATTCATAACACTGATACTCACTGTTTCAGAAGTATAGCCACAAGATGATGCATATTGACATCTGTTTATTTATTTATACTGTATATTTATTTTTATTATTTTTAAGTCTCTGGGTTTACTGTGCTTTTTGAAGGACAGCACAATTTGACTAAACATTTTATGGTTATATATCAATAAATAAAATAAATTATTATTATATTATTATTATTTATTTATTTTTTTGTTACATAACAATAACTTTTTATTATTATTAAATAAAAAATAACATACAAGCAAAACAAACTCAGATGCAGAGATTATGTGGAGCAGAATTTACTGTGAACCAAGCCACTCTGCGACACTGAAAACACTGGACCATGAGCTCCATGTGTGTAAATGAACACAGTGCTGCTGCACAACTATTTAATCAAATCACAGCATTTGTCACAGCTAATTGCAATTATTTCAATTAATCTTTCAGCCCCATTTGTTGTCATGACAATGTAACTAGTGGTCGACCGATATATCGCCAAGGCCGATATATCGGCCGATATTTGGCATTTTTCAAATATCGGCATTGGCCGATAAGTTTTTCTGTTTGGCCGATGCGTTCGAGGTGGGACTTTTATTTTGACGGCGTGCCTGACTTTTATTTTGACGGCTCTGAGAGCGGCAGCGCCTGAGCACACACTGAAAAAAAAGATTTTGTGGTGTTGTAAAATATATTAAATTAATCATCATAAATTCTACTTGTAATATTAAAAATCAAGAAGAACAACAATTTTCTAAGTAAAATGTACACATTTAATTCATGTAATTAATGAACTGCGTGAGAAGAGTAACTCTTATTAATATTTACTTGTAATATTTATCTGTTTTATAGTCATTGCACATAAATCTAGAAATATTAAGTAAATTTTAATCTAAAAGTTCATCGCGCTTGAATCCGCGCATGCGTGTTTGGACCCACGCTTTGAATCAGAGGGACGGTTGGGCTTGTCACGGAGGAGATGCATGGCTGGATTTTCTCATGTTTAAGGTAAGTTTGCCTTCTGTTTTAGATTTCTGATTTGTAATACTTTGGTCCGTGTGCATTTCGATAGTTTGATTCTTGTTTGCTTGACTCATTATACTGTACACTAACGTTCATATTAATCACATAACCTCATTAAAGTTAACTTGCGTGCGTTCACAGTGAGTGATATTTCAGCGAAAATGTTTTCAATAGTTCAGAGATTCACAAAGCTGTTTTTCGCGTAAAAACTTGAGCACAATTGGAAATTACTGTAACTGCTAGCTAGCTAACATCGTTACTAAATAAAACAATCGCATAGTTTAGCATAATGCTAGTTTCTGCTCTTTCAAACACTCGACTGACATTAAGTTTAGTAAGTAGATTTTACTTAATAATAGTGAGTAAGTTGTACTTGATATTAGAGCAGTAAAATTTACTTAAAATGTGTTCGTGCAATTTGTTACCAACATTTTTTTAAGTAAATCTTAATAGTTATTTTTTTCAGTGCACAGTGCTCACATTCTCCCTCTTGTTCGCCGTCATCGTTAAAGGGGTAATTTGATGCGATTTCAATTTTTCCTTTCTCTTTGAAGTGTTACAAGCTCTTGGTGCATAAAGAAGATATGTAAAGTTGCAAAGACTAAAGTCTTAAATCCAAAGAGATATTCTTTATAAAAGTTAAGAGTCAACCACGCCTACCTAAAACGGCTCGTTCTAACACGCCCCCACATGTCTAAGTCATGATGTGAGAAGATTTGCAAAACGCCGCCCAAATGTTCACGCAAAGAAAGAAGGCGTAACTTTTATTCTCGCTG